TGATGGCAATCGACATAGCTTTGAGTATTTATGCACCATTTACTTAAAATCGGACGAAAATATATATGGGAGCTATATGTAACTCTGAGCCGATTTTTTACGAAACTTAGCAAACATCATTCTAGACTCAATATCAAATTTCGTGCAATTCGATATATATAAATCGTAAGCGATTTTCTGGAAACTAAGTACAATCTTCCAAGATTTAATTCAGTACGCTATGTTAAATTTCGCACAAATCGAAAGATATATAGGGACATTAGTGCACCATTAACATATATATATAGCTATATCTAAATCTGAACCAATTTGTACGAAACTTTCCCAATTTAAATAATGTTCGTCCACGGGCCAAATAGATGAGCTGGACCCAATTTCATCAAATTCTGATCAAAAATTCGACCTGTATTTTGTTTACAATTTAACATAGACAGACAGACGGACGGATGGACGGCATAAATCGACTCAGAAAGTGATTCCATGCATATTCTCGAAATGAATCATGTGCCTGTTACAAACGTATGCACAAAGACAATACCCTGTACCACAGTATGGTGAAGGGTATAAATAAAGAAGATCTTGACCTATTGCAATTATCCTAGTTCATACGACAGCTATAAACGTAGAACAAAGTCGTATATTATATTAATAGTGCTCACAAAGTGTTGCCAATGTCCGTAATCTGCATTTTTATGAATACAATTCATAAAACTGTATATGGGCAATACTGCCAATTTTTTAATATTCCATTTTCAAAAAAAATCGGCTATTTTCTTTTCGTGGTACATCAATGATTTTTACACATATAGAGAAAAATGTCCAGTTTCCGAATCCGCTAGCGATCAAATTTTTTGATGTCCGTAAAAGTTATCGAGGTTTTAATTTTGGACAAAAGAAAAAAAAATCTTAAAATGACGTGGTTTATTGATTGATGGTTTATTGATATTGACCAAAAACTTTGATATACATATATCTTCCTTCTTAAAATAAGAATATGAATATATTATAATAATCGCGAAAAAGTGGCACATCTTCGCGATATATGAGGAAAATAATAAAAATATAGGAGATTACGTCGATATTTTCATTATATTAATGACATTTATCAACCTAAAAATGAATTTAAAAATATCCACATAACGTAAACACCATGATGAATCAAATGATATCAAAATCGCACAAGTCTGTGTAGCGGTTTGTTAATTAAAATATTTGTTTTTGGTTCGAAGAAATAATGTCATCATACTTATTTTTTAACTTTATACAAGAAATTTCAGAAAAAAATGATGGGGTTATTTACCTATTTTACCCGAATTTCGCCGAAAATTTTACATATATAAAAATATTCAATTCTAGTGTACAAATATACACCTTGCGGATTATCGCAAGGCACTTCCGAAAAATATTGGGTTTTTATAAAAATAATAAATCTTAAAATAAAGCAAAATATGAAATATACATATATTATATTGCGTCTAAATCGCGTAATCACGAAGTACTGAAGCTTTCTTCCAATCCATTTATATATTGCGAAATTTTATTTGACGGCTATAATGTACTACACGTTGCATTGGAGTACCCAAAAACTGGTAAAACGCGAATAATTTCGGAAAACCCCATATGCCATTAACGCGCATCTGATTTCGGTGTGCACCCCAAAAAAATACATTGATCTATACCGATTTCAATGCCGTCCATTAAGAACCATGTTCTTAGCAGATCTCAGTCCAAATTTTGTTTAGGTCCTTTGTTGACCAGGGTCTTGCTTGTGGACTAGTTTTGGCAGCGGATCCAAGATTATTTTTTTAATAATATTCCAAAATAAGTTGTACTGAAATTGGTTTAGAGTATGCCATATACAATAAAGGGGTTCGAAATATATGCTAAAATAATGGTATTCCGCAGTATTTTCCAAATGTTTCAATTACAATAATTTTTCTTTTTTTCTTCTATAAAACACGCAACACTGTACGATGTTAAACAAATTTAATATAAATGACAATAATGACGGTTGTAATTTAATATTTGTTTAAATGGCGTTTTCCGACATTAAATCAATTTCGCACACATAAGTAATTGTTCGCAATTTTATTGCCATTATTAAATTACTTTATATGGAATGGACATAATTTACTTATTATTATTTAATAAAAGCTGTGTGTGTGTGATATTAAAACTTTGTCATGGAAAAGTGTTACATACTTTTTATTGGGTTCAACATAATTGACATAGTATTTAATTTTGTAGACACTGACGAGAATTGTTCTTTGCTGACTATCGCTTTATATAACCCTATAGTTATACCCTACACAACTATCAGTGTTCGCAAAAAAAACGGTATCGTAAAAAAAAAAAACACTAAAAAAATTTAGCGTTAGTGTTCCGGTACACAAACATTAAAAAATATTTTAGTGTTACTGTTCCGGATTACAACGAAATTCGTAGTGTACCGCTGTCGGATCACAGCGAAATTCGTAGTGTACCGCTTTCGGAGCACTAAAAATCGTAGTGTTCCACTTGCCGGAACACTAAAAATCGTAGTGTTCCATTTGGCGGAACACTAAAAATCATAGTGCTCCACTTGGCGGAACACTTAAAATCGTAGTGTTCCATTTGTCGGAACACAAAAAGTTGTATTTAAAAAAGTTCGTCTAGTGAAAATTCAATCTGATGTAACTGAAAATTCCATTGGATTGCATTTTGGCTAATAATCGATTGTGCTGATCGGAAAAACTATGATATTTAGTGTTCCGACCAGTGGAACACAACGATTTTTAATGTACCGCAGTCGGTACACTACGATTTTTAGTGTACCACTGCCAGTACACTACGATTTTTAGTGTACCGCTGTCGGTACACTACGATTGTTTAGTGTAAGGCAGCAGGTACGCTAAGATTTTCGTTGTTAACGCTACAAAATAATTTTAGTGTTTGTGTACCGGTACGGTACGTTATTCTAGTGTATATATCCACCTTGGTACGGTACAAAACACTAATGAACGGTACCATAATGTTTATTTTCGAACGCTGACAACTATGTTGTCAGGGTATTATAGCCTTTTGTGGCCCTAAGAGTTTATATCCTAGACCCACCAATACCGATCATATCTCGACTAGCTGAGTCGATCTATACATGTGTTCTGTCCGACCGTTCGTCTGTCCAGTATCGTCACGAAATTTAGCATGAAGAAGGGTTTCTGATCAAAGAAGACCTCTATTGCTTTTGGTATTGTCCGTTAATAATTTGCAAATATGATCAGATTGTATTTAGAGGATGAAATGAAGCAAAAACTTAATTTTTGTGTGTTTTTTTCGAGTCACTCTATAGGCCACAATAATAAGAATGGATGTTTTGATCGGTCAATATTCAGCGGGTCAAATCAACCAAGGACTTCTGTGTAAAATGACAAAATCTGCATCTTATGGCATAAATTTATATTCCGAAAATATCTCGAAATACTACACAGGCACGCATGCAACCAGAATCAGTTGAGATGAACATTTGAAGGTTACAATAAGAAACATGGCATTGTCCCTTGAATATACCCATAGTAGAATAGGCTATTATATACTCGGCCCGTCCGACTTTTGTCCCTTCCTTACTGCTTCAATGACAAGTTGTGATGATAGCTTTACATATTTTTAGCCCAAAAATTATAGCTTATTCACAATTTCGATACCTTATTCATCATTTACTTTATTCCTATTTTCCAATTAAATTTTATCATAAATAAAAAAATGCCAACTATTCATAACGTTGGCAACCTCAACAAGTTATTTGCAAATCGATTTTCCTTCCAACGATTCGAATAATTTTTTTATTTAAAAAACCACTTATCAATGCAACAACATTAATTATGACTTCAATAATGACCATCGAGGAAAATTATCCTAATGGACGAGTGGTAAACAACAGTGGCTGAGCAACAGTAGGCATCATTCATCTTCAGTTTGTATGGGCCCAATCGATTCATTCGATAACACATCAATACTCACCGATATGACTGATATCACCCGTAAAATGTGAAATGAAAAAACCACATAAAAATATGCAATGAATTTTCTGTTCAATTTATAATTATCATTTATTTACTTCACACAAAATTATGTGAATATTTAATTCGTACTCCATCAGTAGCATTATAATACATGTACAATATACAATATAATCAATTTTCATATATATAAAAAACCTTATAACTATAAAAAAAACATTCCTATAATTTATTAATAAAATCTCACATGTCTGTGGGTCGTGTGAGCTGGCGGCAAGTAATTGTAGCAGTGTCGTTGGCTTAACATTAGCATACAAAAATATGCACTCATTTAATAATTATCACTATTATTCGAAATATAATTTGTATCGTAAAAAAAGATAGCCAGCCGCAATTACTTTGCCCCCGCACCATAAAAAACGACCATTCCTATAGCTACGAACAAAATGACTTAAAATAAAACGAATTTAACTCTCTCTTTAAAATAAAATAAAATGAAACAGTTTACAAATGAACAAAAGAGAACACAAAAAATGGAAAATAATATAATTATACTACGAATAAAAGTAATTTTTACAGGAAATTAATGTAATTGGCATTACATGATTTTGATTCAGTTCGCTTGTTGTAATGACTTAATGAAGGTTTTTTTTTACCTGAATGCGAGTGTATGTATAAATATGCACAAGAATGGATATATTTACAAGTACAAAAGTGGACAATCAATCAGTTAATCGATTCGATTAAATATACAAACTGAATTTAACTTAAGTGATAATGTGGGGTTTGCTGCACAACTTATTCTACACTTTTGGTAATGAAACATGAATATTAAAACTATCCATAAACAACAACAATATATAATTTGTGGTAGAAAAATCCTAAACTTATCGTAAGAATATTTCTTCTTTCGTCGTGGTTGTTTTTAATTACATAACAAAGAATGGCGCCAACGACGAGTTTAAATCTGGAAGGTATAGTCGATTTTTAAAGTATTAATGCCTAAACTTCCGATCAAGACGCACCACTACACGTAACGTGTAATTTGAGCATAGAATTCCGAGAGACAGGCATGTAGCTGAATAAATGACGGCCGTTCTGCTGGCAAAAGTGCCCAACAGTAAGCCATTATGGTAAATCTGAAATGATAAGAACAAACGAAAATGTACATGTTAGTCAAGCAAATCAATGATATTAACAATAATAGAATATGTACAAATTAAAAACCAAATACACTTTCATACTTCAATTTTAATTTTGTACAAAAATACAAATATAAAATATTTGTTTGACTCCAAATATTTTAAGTTTTTATTTAATTAATCGACTCTATTTAACATTTATAATAAACGAAACAAAGTACTTACAACTCATCTGGACAATTAAATGGCTGCGCCAGTCTGTAACCATCCCTGAGATAATGCTCCATTTCGAAAGGATCCACTTCAGCATAAGGCTGTTTGGCCGATGTACACAATTCCCACATAAGGACACCGAATGCCCACGAGTCACTTGCCTCTGAGAATTGTTTGTGTTGTAATGCCTCCAATGACATCCATTTGACTGGACGGTTTTCACTATCACCGAGACAATTATAATCACCAGGAAAGAGATCACGTGACAATGAACTATCAGATAATTTGACGCGCAACTGATCATCAATACTGGAAAGAGAAATAAAAATAATTGTAGAGGTAAATTAATAAAACAGTCATTACATATCAGCTCATCGATGGTATATCGTTCGAATAATTTCATATCACAATTGAATCAAACAAATTTGAATACTTACACACAATTTCTAGTCGCTATATCCTTGTGTACAACACCGTGACTGTGCAAATGACTAAGCGCCGTTGACAAGTTCGAGGCCATCATCACAATTTGAATGGTTGTGATGGTGCGTGCACATGAGGGATCCAACAAAAACATTTTCAAGTTTCGGGTATTATTCATGGCTGGATATAAAACAAACGGCGTTGTATGATCCTCAATTGAAACACCCAAAACGGACAAAATACCCGGATGGGAAGCACCGTACAGTGACATGCCCTCCTGCAGCAACAGCGACACTTGCATTTGACTGGCATGTTGGGCTACTGTTTTTACTAAAACATCCTGGTTATCGTTGTAGGATCCACGATAAACTCGGCCAAATGTGCCCTCTTGCAACAGACTAGATAAACGGACACGACAACGTTCGACGGTCAGTTCCGATATGCGACGATGCAACTCTTCTGGCTGTTGGGGTTCCATTTTGCGCGGCAACGTACTGTGAATAGGGGCAATAATCGATGGTGTGATATACGAAGCCGATTGACACGGGGGATTTGTGTTGAGTCTTTGGAAACTTGACGTTCTCATGGGTTGACCATGATGATTTTGACGCTTGGCCGATCCACGAACACAATAGGCTGCAAGCAGAAGTATCAAAACCATGGCCAACGCCAGAACACTTCCGACGACTAATGTAATTAAGCCGGTAGGTGGCTGAACTACTGTTTCCAAAAGCAAGGGATCGTCCACGTTGGGTTCATCTTCCTCAGCCAGCAAACATATCTTTTTTCGGCGAAACACCAAATGTGTCACATTGTTCAATGCGCGATTGAGTATCACCTCAATCGATATGCTAACATCCACTTCAGCAGCACGTATGCCCGAACATTTTAAGCTGATCGAAAATGTTTTCACTTCCGTTGGAATTTCGCCAATCTGTGATATATTTAGGGTGGGTCGGGGTAATACTGCCGGATCAGAAGTCACCACATTTATGCTGTAGGGTAGGGTACGTCCAGCTAAACTTTGCCAAGTAAAACTGATGTCTCGTACATTGGCCGGCACTGGTACAATGAAATTTAGTGCATAGTTATTAATGTGGCCATCACGTACGTAATAGACTTCGGCGGAAACACCTGCAACAACAAAAAGAAAAAGGATTGAAAAAATTTTTAATTATTTGAAAATAAAGAGAATAGTTTTTATTATCCTTAAAATATTTTATTTTTCGAAATATAACTTTAAAACTTCAAACTGAATTAATGAATGCATAAAATTATTCTTATCTAAATTTTGGTCGGAGTGTGTGTTCGTGTGTCAACATTTCATGGCTTTATTATGGGACAAAGACTAATTGTAAAGTTTTTGCGTCAATTTCGACGAAACCAAACAAAATCATGACAATTTAACTCGATTTTTCAACAGCAACAAAATGTGTCAGTTGCAACATTTTTCAGTTAAGGACAACCAGCAGACACGTACATAACGAATAGTAGAGCGTGTTACCATTTTAGTAATTGTAGGTCAAAACATTACATACGACGGTGTATTTGTTTTTTATTTATTTTTCAATACCTAGATTTTTGATGGTAACCAAATATATCGCGAAATAAATGTTTAACAAATTGAAGAAATTTATAAACATTCCTTTAATGTAATAAGGTACAATAACATTTTGACCATTTCCCAGCAAAATAAATTTAGTTTCTATTTATCATTCCTAATTGCCAAACAGATGGTCACCTTTATTTGTTTTCGTAAGTGGCTACCAGTAAATAAGGAACATGTCCAATCCACTTGTTGTTAACTTATTGTTACGTTTTTATTTTTCTTGTTGTTGCTGTTGTTTTTGTTCGATTTGCTAAAACCAAGAACAGAATGGGAACAACAAGAAAACGTAATGAAAGAATCACTTGAGAGAATGGAAAAACTTCACATCAAATCAAGTCACGCACACTTCATTAGTATCATAACAAGATGTGTAAATGTGTTTATGTGGCCACATGTGTGTCCAGATGTTCGCCTCAGCTATTTTTCTATATCCTTATCGGACTCTCTTGTTGTCTGTGGTCTTGCCAATAAATCTGCACATAATCAAGTTGCGGAGAATAGACATTCAATTCGATTCACTCACACTGGTGTAAAACAACATACCAAATGATCAAAACAATTTGATTGTACTTTTTTTCCAAAGCAGACATTCGAATTTCAATATGAAGTGAATACCACCACACACACAACTGGTCATTTCGAAAGGATGTCATCCTTGTGTCACAATAAACTTTCAATTATTTTTTCTATGTGGCATTGTTTTTGGTAGTGGTCACCGAACACGACATGCGAACAAGTTTCAGTTTTATTTGAAAAGATTTATTTTGTGTGGCATGTTGCAATTAGATTTTTTTCCTAAAGCAGACTGCCGTCTAAACTGCCTGGTGGTCTATTGGCCTAGATAATGTGAGTCGGTTTAGTCGACTGTACGTGCAAAATCCGAGGGACCAATAGCATATTTCAGTCACTAGTGACACAAATTTGACATTTATTTTAATGGTTTTTAGGGTAAAGCAGTAACTTTTTTTCAAATCACTTGATTATTTTTTTACCATTATCATAATATAATTTCCAAAAATGAATGATGGTCACATACAAATACTCACAATTAGACATTAATTCTATATGTTTTGAGATCTTTCAATTGATATGAAAGTGTGTAATTTAAGTCTCCCATTTAACTAATGCAATTTCCTCAAACACCTCGATAACAAGGATCGTATTTCATTCTTTTTAATCCATGACAGTTTTTAATCATCTCATCTCATCATCCGCATTTGTTCGAGTACAATGCACCACAGTACGCTCCCTCCTCTCCTATCTATGTTTATTTTTTTACACCTCAATAAGACAATTTAAATCATTTTAATCCTAAATTGTCACAAGTACTTACAAAGTACCTACGACGACAGACAATTCGAATGCACAAATACACGTCGACAACGGGGAAAATGACAAACGAATAGCGGTAATGAAATGAAATGTTTTCATTATAAAAGTTAGACTGGGAATATGGGGGAAAGGACCAACGTTACGACAATGACACTCTGCTGCTGCTGCTAATGCCGCTACCCATTCTTTGTTTCCTTTTGTCTTGAACAGTATCCCTCCAACTTCATACATGACACGGAAAAGATTAAAAATATGATAAAGATGACGAGCACACACACACACACACAGAACAATTTGTACTTTCGGGAGGACACAGGCAACAAAATAGGATACCATATAAAATTTGACACACCTCCATTGGATGACAGTAGAACTGTCATACGTACTTTACACATCCATATCATCTGCTGACATTTCTGACGACTTCAGGAGTGAAATGACGAACAAAAAAATGAACTGCAAAGCATAAGACGAAGAAATACACATTTAAGAGGATTTTCCCTAAATGACAATAGACCGTTGTGGAGAGGGCAGTCGTCTCTAATGGAAATGAAAGTCGTAATAGGATACATTTTCACAGCACATTGAGAATGGGTATAATGAATTTTCACTCTAAGAACAATGCATAATTTAATTAAAATAAAAATATAATTACCCAATGGATGATATTTGAAGGTTATTGGTGTTGTAAAAAGCAACAACCACAACAACAAGGAAACTATTAACAATTGTTAGAAATAGATGATAATAAAACAATTGACATTTTATGCTTGAATTACTAAGAGAAATTTGATCAGCTTTTGTAAATCATGCACAAAAGCAATAAACAAATTAGATACACTCACAAAAAATCCTGAGTAGTACATGTCTAAATTTCATTATTTCGAAATAAATGTATGGAATATTGAAATGCACATTTAACATGTATAACGTAATCTTAAATAAATGCAAAATGTCCATCCAATCGACGACATTTTTCCTTGAGTGTATTCAATTGCTGGCACAACCATTTGAAAAATCCTTTTGATATATACTAAATAGTTTAGTGAACAATAAAATGGGACAAAGCGAAAATAACAATAAATACGGAAGCACTCCAGAAAGTAAATGTTATACGAAAAATAAAAAAGAATAAGTTCTTTATTTTTCTTCACAAGAAGAAAAAGGGAGCTGCAAATGAGAAACTTTTTTTAAAGTCAATGTGAACAAACGACGCGTTTCCACACAGAAATAGTAAATTCAATAAAACAAAACAAAAAATGAAAAGCAACTAAATACGCATACAAATGTTCCAGGGGGCGAGGAGGAGAACAATTCAAAACTCCTACAAAAATAACGGATGTGGAAAAGAGGCAGCACAGCAGCGCAACTATAAAAACTCCAAGGATAACATGGATGGAATGGGGGAATAACGCATTGGGACATTTAAATAGCTTAAAAAATCATAGTACGTGGTTTAGCAATGTAGGCATCATCGTCATAACCATCAGCGACATCATCGTGTTGTTCCATACACCACGTTGTTGTTGTTGCTGCTGCCTGCCTGCCTGCCATAGTCAGCTCAGCTTTATCGCCTTTAAAACATAAAACGTTTTGTTGTAGACAACAACAATAGACCCTTATAAAAAGTGTCAAATATCCTTTAATTTTTTTTTTTGTATTCTATATTCCTGCGATCAAAGTAGGCAACGATAGCGTTGACGGTACCCGTTTTGCTGCATTCACATTGCCGGAGTAACATTCTCCTAGATTCTTCTTTTTTTCTATATGGCATACTATTGTATTTCTGAGCATTTTATTAGTTTTTTCTCCTCTGCTTCTTCTTTTTGAATTTAAAATAATACTTTTTGATTCCTTAACGGAAGGCATAAGGCAAAAGCACGAAAGAAGGAAACAAGTTGTTTGGTAAAAAAAATACAATACAGTGTTTGCCGGGAAAGGTATGACAGGTTTGTTCGGAATTGAAATCTGATATTGCACAGTAATCGATATTTGATTATGTCGAATATCTATATAATTTTTAATTTAAAGTATATGTATTGAGTTGGTGTATTATTTAGGCAGTTTTACGTGTCATAATTTATTGCGGTCCACTGTGGTATTGTAGCACTTTGAAGCTGGAAGTTGTCAGCGAAACGATTGTAAATGGCATTGAGATGTAAATAAAACTGTATTTTTTACCATGTATATATGTATATCACAAATCATTTAATTTCATTCTCCTTTTTGTTGCTGTTGTTGTATTTTGTAATTCTTTTATTCTAGCAAGACAGACAGCCAGGCTAAACAACTCAATCGCCATGCCCAAACAGACACTGCCTGCTGACATTCATTCAGTGGAAAATCAAATTTAAAATTCTTTATAAACCAGCATAAATACGTGATAAATATTAAAGGCAATAGAACAACAATGACCAACGAAAAAAAAAAAACTCCAACCGAGTCCATCGAAATTTCATCTTACAAACAACAAGATGGAAATGACCAGCTGAGGGTCGTCGTTATGACCCACAAAGTGACAGCCTACAAATAAAATAAAGGAATTCCAACAATGGATCATCAACACAACAAAAACAATAAAATGGCTAGCACCAACGGTCAAACACAAAACAAGAAATAATCATAGACCCAAAAATAAGCGAATAAATGTCTTAACTTGGCTTTAGTTGGGTATTATTGCCCGGAAATATGATGAATACACACAGATGAATTCGGAAATTCGGGTGGGGGCAAAGAAATAGGAGTCATTTCCCAAAACAAAAACACGAGGTTCGCCAACAAAAGATTATCGACGGCCATAAAAACAGACAAACGGACAAACAAACGGCCAGTGGGCTAAAATATTGCCAGTACCGAGAATAAATGTAAATATCCACATTCCTTATGACAGAGAAATAAAGAAATAAGCGACATTAAGATGACATAAGGACAAAAAGAGAATATCACCCAAAATAAGTCAATCTTTCCCAACACTTACACACACACACACAATGGGAGGGGATGTCTCTTCTGTTGTGTTTATAGTTTTGAACTATTCAAAATCCTATTTACACAGCAGCCATGAATGGGATATAAAGAGCCATAAGCAGCATTACAAACAACAGCATATTGATTTGAGCAACAACTTTATCATCGTCATCATGAAAACATCTGAGTTCCAATTGTGCGTCCGTCGTCCGTCTCGTGTTCATCT